AGACAGCTAATCATCACAGCAACGCCCCAATTGGTGGTGTAGTTGTCTCCCGATCCAAATAACTCCCATGCTGCGCAGGAGCAGTGCGCGACGCAATGAATAAGCGGTAGCCAGTTGCAAACATGAGAGCGACACACGCAAAGTGCTGGCGTGCGTGATTGATGGTGGGCATTGTCGGCACGGCAGACGACGCTCATCCGTTTGCTACTCCAATATATAAGCTCTGTGGTGCTTATCGAGCCATCTTCTGGCAATCTGGTATGCACGACTTGTAGTGCAGAAGTTATGCAAAGGCTTGCAAGCTTTTATTGCAAAGAAGGAGCAGTGAGCTCAGTATCACATTCTTCGGCTTGGTAAGACGACATCTTCGCAATCAATTCGCTCCGATGAGAAAGAAAACTGGAAGCAGATTGCGTCTATCCCGTCTGCTATTCCTTCACACAGTGGACACTTCGACAAAGCAAGTTACACTCAGTTTCCAACCCATTGCCTTACACTACCGGTGACTTGTCAGTAGAATGGTAGAGGTGGGGTGGTGGGAATGTGCGCGACGTGAATGTGCTGCCTGTCGCAATGGCGAAGTGATGTGCTGTGAGGAATGGGGACAAGTAGTGGTATGCGGAAATTGGTAAGGGAAGGCAAAGGTGTGGATTGGGAGGTGAGACCGTGGAGTGGGAGCGTGATAATGCGCTGTGCACTTAATCGACTTACTGTGAGTCACTGGCAGTGGCATCGTCAGGTCCTCCACCGCTGAAGTGGAATGTTACCGTCAACCTGATGCCAGGTGGGACAACGGCACAGTGGAGGAATTTTCAGATCCACCCACACGGACGCACTCATCATTTGTGCACAGCATCAGGCTACAGCACACAATGTTGGGGCTTCTGCAACTGCTTCATTGCATGGTGGAGCGTGAGAATAACGGCCAATGTCATGCTGGCGCACGGTGATGAAGGCGGTATTGCTACAGCGTATTCGGGCACATGTATTACCTCTTTGCTCACCATTGACCACTACTTCTCCTTCTCCTCCTCGTCCTCACCCTTCTCCGTTCCCTCTCCAGAATCTGGATCAGTGCCTGATTGGGCAAAATAATTATGTTATTAGTGATTGATGTGGTGAGGTTGGCTGCCAATGAGCATGCTTGCTGTTATGGCAAGATGCCATTCGAAGTGCAGGTTCTGACCGTCAAACACGCAACTCAAGAGGCGCACAATAGTACCAAGCAAGCTGAGTGCAACATCCATCCAAGAGCACAGTTAGTTACAAGTGGTGCTTAACGTCGGACCTTTGAAAAGGTCAGCTCAAGCCCACCCCTTCCCCCGTTCACGGTTCTTGCCACAAATGGCGGTTCCTCATTCGCGCCTACGTGAGAGGCAGCAGAGCCATTACTGAAGGCAACTGTAAATGCCCATGAGGAAGGAAGAGTGTTGGTGGTAGCGGATTGGGATGGGACATGTCCAAAGATATTGCAGTTGACGCAGGCATTGGTGATGTAGGAGTGCATTTGGAAGTTGGAGAACAGAGTCGAGTTGTACGGTCGAGGAGTCCAATTTTTTGCAGTCTAGGCCAAATCACGAAGATGTGGCCAGTTGTGGTGCACGCAACTTCCACTTCATTCATTCACATGCTTACTTACTTACTCCCAGCTCGACTGACAACAAACAGCGAAGTCAAGTGCTAATGTAAGGCGACTGCTGTGGAGGAATGTTGAGGAGGCGTTTGGCCTCAACGCATTCGCTCTTGTCGATGTCGACGAAGCGACTGCACATCCTCTTACCATGAATCATGTGGCACTCTCAGAGAGCACTTACTTGTTACCACCAAATCGCTTGCACCACACCACTCACTGTGCATGGCAAGTGAGTCGAGTGATTGCCTTGACGGTCCCGCATTGTCCGCTGTGCAAACGAATTCGCGACTATGGAAACCCCCCTGCCAACTGGCCTGATCTGCCTAGTGTAGGGGCCTTCTGCAATGTTAGCATGCAAGGACTGGACGGTAAGTAGGCCTGCGTCTTCCACCCACCATCAAACGATCCCCATCACTCGAACCTTTCACTCTCAGCAGTGCCTATGCTTCGCTTCTACTTCTACTTTGTTATGTTGGGTCGTTTCGACCGATAGCACTCTTTGCCAAAGCCACCCAACTGCATATCATGGCATGGCGTCAGCTGGCCAGCAGATTCTGCACCTGTTTGCAAAACGAGAGAGGAGTCGACACAGACTTACCACCGTAGCATAATGGATCAGTGCTTTGCTTGCGCCGATGACTGTAAACAAATGCCACAACTTTAACAGCAAGAGCATCACAGTGAACAGCGTGCAGGTGGCAATTGAGGAGCAGTGAACATGAGACAATCCCTGTTCACTAGGCCGTTCACATTCCTTGTCACGGTGTTAGTTGCATCGCACAGTCCAACTATTCCCTCGATACGGTGGCATCGCTGAATTGGCGCCACAGTTTTTACTCAGGGAGGCCTCCAATGCTGCTTGTCGAAAGAGAAGCCAACTAGCGTGTGCTTATTTGGATGCAGGACACGAGCACAGCACTCATTGCGGTGTAAGGTGAGACAGCGTGCACAATAAATTTTGTTCGTAGTGATGGCATTTGTCAAAGCACTCTTGGTAGCAAGTAGACTTAATGGATGGTAGGTGAATGTGAAGATGCGCATTATTTGCCAACGTCCACATGACTCGTAGTCGTGGCAGTGCTGACCCAGCAATTTCACGGCACCGAGGTGGGGCGCTTGCCTCCCAATGCCACTATTCGCAGTTAAAAGGCAAACAACTGGCTTTCGAGTGTCTACA